AAGTGCCTCGCAGATTAGGGCTGCTTTCCCGATACTGCGTTATAAATATTTGTGTCACAACGTCTGTTTCAACGTTACCAAATTCAAACATCTATATTAATTACAATTGGTATCAGAGCGGGTCTGCTTAAGTTATTAGCAGGATCCAAATGGAGTTCCCTAGAGAAGGTCTTTCAAACAATAGACCACCAGCCCTACTTGGCACAAATTTTTCTTACTGGAAAGCTCGAATGCAGATATACATTCTAGCACAAGGGGAAGGTGTCTGGAATACAATAGAGAACGAATGGAAAACTCCAGTTGATGACAAAAGAAATACTAAACCTAGAATCGATTGGAGTGAAGAAGAGAAAACTGGATATGACTTCAACTCAAAGGCTATGAATGCAATATATGGAGCGGTGAGCGAAGACACGTTCAAACTAATTGCTTCTACCCGCATAGCCAAAATTGCGTGGAGTATATTGTGCGATCATCATGAGGGAAACACAACTGTAAGACAATCTAAACTTCAGATGATACAAACTGAATTTGAAAACCTGAAAATGGGAGAGGAAGAAAGCATCACCCAATTCAGTGCCAGAGTTTTAAGTATATCCGGAGATGCATTTAACTTAGGCGAACCTATACCCGAACATAGGATCGTCAAAAAGGTACTACGCTCACTACCCGGAAGATTCCAAATGAAAGTCACCGCTATTCAAGAACATAAAGATCTGAATACATACAGACTTAGTGACTTAATAGGAAATCTTCAAACCTATGAACTTGAGATGCTACAGGGTCAGAAAAACAATGGTAAAGGAATAGCATTACAATCCAGACAAGAAGAGAACTCAGAAACTGATTCAGAAACCATGGAACAGTCAATTGCACTACTAACGAAGAATTTTAACCGAGTTCTCAAGAAGTTTAACAAGTCCAGGAATAAAAATTTCTCAAACAACCAAGGAAATTCTACAAATAAAAAACCATCCAATCCAAAGAGAAGAGATAATTCAATTACTGAAGCAATACAATGCTATGAATGTAAAGGCTTTGGACACATTCAATCAGAATGTGCCACATACTTGAAAAGGAAAAATAAAACATATATAACAACTCTGAGCGATGACTCAGATAGTGAAGAAGATGATAACAACACGAACTTCGTAGCCTTCACTGCTAGCCATGAAGACAACAATAGTGATGACATGCAAGAGTTACTAGAGGCATACACTCAACTAAATGCCAAATGGGAGCAAATCATCAAGATAAAAATTTGGAACTCATGGAAGATAATCACTATTTAAAGAATGAAAAAGAACGAATAGAGAAACAATACAAAGAAGCCCAGAACGAACTACTAGACCTCAAGAACAGAGAAACTAAACTGCTACAAGAAATTAAGGAGCTTACCGAATGACCCAGGACTCCAAGCACGGACACCAGTGAAAATAACCAATCTGAAATACAGGAAGTGTCGCAACAGCACTTCCGACATCGAAGAAGAATAAGGTGCTACTATTGTCACAAACTAGGACACATCAAAGCACATTGCTACAAAAGACAAAATGATCTCTACTACAGACAAAACAACAGGACATGGCCACCACACAACAGAAATAATAGCAAGAAAATCTGGGTAAGAAAAGATCAAAATGTTGCATTTACCTCCAAAACAAACAAAGACCAGGATATATGGTACTTTGACAGCGGCTGTTCCAGGCATATGACTGGAAATCCAGAAAATTTGGAGAATATACAATATAAAAATGAAGGATATGTTACTTTTGGAGATGGAGGAAAAGGAAAAATTATTGCAAACGGAACTTTAAACGTACATGGGCTACCAAAACTATCAAAAGTCTTCCTAGTACAAGGATTAAAGGCAAACTTGATCAGTATAAGCCAGCTGTGTGAAGATGAACTAAAAGTGGAATTTTCAAAAGACAAGTGCAATGTTCTTAATCAAAATCATGAATGTGTTATGATCGGAAGAAAATCCACAAACAAATGCTACACATGGAATGGTGATCTAACTTGCTTACAAACAACCGTCAATCAAACACAATTATGGCACCAACGGATGGGTCATATAAACTTCCATGACATGTGAAAGGGTTTAAAGAAGGGAATCTATCGAGGAGTTCCAACACTTGACATAGATGAAAACAAAAAATGTGATGCATGCCTTGAAAACAAAATAACCCGAACAGCCCATAAGAAGACCTCAGGAATACACACTTCTAGAATCCTAGAACTACTTCACATGGACTTATTTGGACCAACTCAGACAGAAAGCATAGGAGGAAAGAGATATGTCTATGTAACAGTTGATGACTACTCACGATTCACGTGGGTAAACTTTCTCAGAGAAAAATCTGAAGCATTTACAACATTCAAAACCCTCATCATCAAAATTCAGAATGAAAAGGAGGGAAGAATAGGAAAAATCATTCGCCTCAGAAGTGATCATGGAAGGGAGTTCGAGAATTCAAAATTCAAGGAATACTGCACAGGAAATGGAATTCATCATGAGTTCTCCACACCAAAAACATCCCAACAAAATGGAGTAGTCGAACGAAAGAATCGAACCATCCAAGAAATGGCAAGAGCCCTCTTAAATCACAAAAGACTTCCATCAAAATTCTGGACAGAAGCAGTTAACACAGCATGCTACTTGATAAACCGAGTATTCATTCGAAAAGAAACCAACATGACACCATATCAAATCTGGAAAGGAAGAACACCAAATTTAAAACACACACATGTGTTTGGAAGCAAATGCTATATTCTAAAAGATAGAGAACCATTGGGAAAGTTTGATATCAAAGGAGATGAAGGGATCTTCCTAGGGTACTCCTCAAACAGCAGGGCATATCGAGTATATAACCTTAGGACAGACACTGTCATGGAGTCTATCAACATTGTGGTCAATGACACAATAGAAGATTCCCCCACAAATGATGAAGAGATAACTGCTGTTGAAACAACAGTTCCAACATCGCATAACCAGAAATCTGAATCAGAAACATTAGAAAAAGAAGAAGCTGTAGACCCTGAAGAAAAAGAAGAAAACCTCACCACTGATGAGACCAGGGTACAGAAAAATCATCCAATAGAAAACATTATAGGAGGACTAAATGAAGGAATCAAAACTAGAGGAAAGAAACGAGACTATCAAAAAATGGAAGAAGGAGACTATGACTACTGCTACACCTCAAAAATTGAACCCAAAAACATCACGGAAGCATTAAAAGATGAATTTTGGGTGGGAGCCATGCACGAGGAATTACAGCAGTTTGAAAGAAACAACGTCTGGCAGTTAGTCAGTAAGCCAGAAAATGCCAATGTCATAGGAACAAAATGGATCTACAGAAATAAAACAGATGAACAAGGGAACATTATACGAAACAAAGCCCGATTAGCAGCACAGGGATACACTCAAGTTGAAGGAACAGATTTTGAGGAAACATTTGCCCCAGTGGCCAGAATTGAATCAATTCGGCTACTCATAGCAGTAGCTTGCATACTCAAGATAAAACTCTACCAAATGGATGTGAAAACGGCATTCCTAAATGGATATCTAAAAGAAGAGGTCTATGTTGCTCAACCAAAAGGATTTGAAGACCCCCATTTTCCACAAAGTGTCTTTAAACTAAACAAAGCACTATATGGTCTAAAACAAGCACCACGAGCTTGGTACGGACGTCTCACTGAATTCCTAGTAAAAAAGGGCTACACAAGAGGCAGCGTGGACAAAACTCTATTCGTCAAACACTATGGTCAAGACATAGTCATTGCCCAAATCTATGTTGATGACATAGTATTTGGCTCAACACTTGAGGTCCACAAAAACCAATTCATCACTAACATGGAAGGAGAATTTGATATGAGCATGGTTGGAGAACTAACCTACTTTCTAGGACTACAAATCAAACAACAAGACAATGGGATCTATATATCACAAAACAAATATGCAAAAAATCTAGTCAAGAGATTCGGACTAGATGAAAGCAAAGTTGTCAGAACACCTGTTCCAACAACAGAAAGAATCTCAAAAGATACAGAAGGAAAACAAGTAGAGCAAACTTTGTATCGCAGTATGATAGGAGGACTACTGTATCTGACTGCAAGCAGACCAGATCTAAGCTTCGGGGTAGGAATATGTGCAAGATATCAAGCAAATCCTACTGAACAACATTTAAAGGCAGTAAAAAGAGTCATTAAATATGTTAAAGGAACAACCGAATTAGGGATATGGTATTCTTTCGACACCAACAATCACTTATCAGCTTATTGTGATGCCGATTGGGCAGGAAACGTAGATGACAGAAAAAGCACCTCAGGGGGTTGTTTCTTCCTAGGAACAAATCTCGTATCTTGGATAAGCAAAAAACAAAGCTCTATATCATTATCAACAGCGGAGGCAGAATACATTGTAGCCGGGAGCTGTTGCACACAATTACTTTGGATGAAACAGATGCTAGAAGATTATGGAATACATCAAACAACTATGACCATACACTGTGATAACAAAAGTGCAATAGACATCTCCAAGAATCCAGTACAACACTCAAGAACAAAACACATCGACATCAGACATCATTTTATAAGAGAACTCGTTGAAAACAAAATTATCAATCTCACACATATCAACACAGAAAACCAACTTGCAGATATACTCACAAAGGCACTTGATGGAAATAGATATGCAAAACTGAGAGCAGAATTAGGACTGTGTATTTTATAAACAAATACACGAGTCATTTTACCCATATCTATATTTTCATTTATATATATCAAAAAAAAAAAAAAGAAGAAGTCTTACTATACTTATAAGCATGATCCACACCGCCATCTTCATGAGGCTCTCATCCAGCCCACATCCGGAAGGTCCATACCCGGCCCACTTCTAAATCCCCAAAATTCAAAATCACATTTGAGATCACCCGATTGCATCTTCTCATCCACAATCACCCTCACAGTCATCTTCTACTCTCTACAACAGAGCAACTATGGTGAGAACGAGAAATCAAAGGCAAGGAAAAATACCTCGGAGAGGAACCACCTCGCAGTTCGCCGGCATCGGAATCCCATCAAACCCGGTATGCATCGAAGAAGAGGTCACCACCACCATCGTCATGGATCCAGTTCCCATCTCACAGGTTCCATTCGAAGAAGTCCAAAACCCTAGACAAGGTAATCTTACTGTTGATTTATATGGAGACCTCACGATTTCTCCATCCATTGAGGATGAATTAAGGGAGAATAATGTTAATCCCACCCAAGATGAAGAAGAACACCCGGTTGTAGAACCCTCACCTCCGCCCTCTCTGTCCAACAGAGAACAGAGAAAACGAAAGAGGGCAGACCCCTACCAAGGGGCAGACCCCAGAGCAAAACGGCCCAATGATTTCCCAATATCTGCTAGACCTCCCTGAAGAACCCCCAACATACCTCCCCCAAGACAGATAATTACCAAGAAACAAAGGGGGAAAAATATAGAAGAAGAACAAGACTGGATTCCAGATGAGATAAGAGAAGATAATGAATGTGAAGAAGAAGGTTCAGGAAAGAAGAGAAAGAAATTGACAGCTAAGGAAAAAGGAAAACAAAAGATTGTTAGAAATTCTGAGAAAAAGACACTGCCTGCAAAGGATAATGGGAAACAAAAGGTAGTTAGTGATGCTGACTTGACAAAACTGCCAAAACCCTATAGTTCAAAGTTTTTGTCTAAAGAAAATGCCAAAGATTGGAACAAATTTGTGGATAAAAACATCATCAACCAAAAAATCCTCATACTTGACAAACTAGAAAATTATGCCCAGATTTCTGAAACCCTAGCCAGAAACAACCTACTAGGGACAGTCACAAACATCTATCCTTATGAGGAACAGGTCATTAGGGAGTTCTATAGCAATCTCACCAAAGCCACCATCAACCCTAAAACCCCAATGTTTGGAATGGTATATCTACGTGGAAAATTCTTTGAATTCAATCCAGAAATCATCAATGAATACCTAGGGACATCCACAGGAGAACAAGAAATTCAACTACAAAATGAGCAGGTTGCTTATGAACTGACTGCTGGAAATGTAAGTTTTGATACAAACAAAATCAAGGTTGCTTCCCTAACGAGCAAGTATGCCATACTCCAAAAAATTGTTCTTGTCAATTGGATGCCATCACTACATGAGACAACATTCAAATGGAGCCTAGCAGAATTGTTGTACAAAATAGGGAAGGGAATCAAAGTCAATCTTGGAGTTATTATCCACTCAAAGATCACACACTTTGCAGAAAACCGAGAAACAAAAGCCCACTTAATCTTTCCGAATCTGGTCTACTCTATCCTAACCAAACAAGGACTAAAGTCACAAGGGCCAAAAGTGCAAGTCAAAACCTTAAACACAACAATAAAGCTGAAAAAAGGAGCACATCAAAATGATCTCAAGAATTCGGTGCCAGCAGATGACCCAACTAATCAGCAAACTTTGATTAGATACTTTGAGAAAAAACTAAGGGAATTGGATATTGCAGAAAAACAACTGTTAAGAAAACATATTGAAGTCAAAGAAGAAAAGGCAGAATTACTCCAGTGGTTGACAGTTTTGAAAGCAAACAATGACAAAGAAGATAGTCAGCAAAATGAAGAAGCAACTGGCAATGAAACTAATGAAGAAGAGGAGGAAGACAGTACTAGTAATCAAGATGATCAGGAGGCTGAAGAGGAACCTAATCAAGAAGATGATGAAGATAGTGGCAGTGCTGCAGATGAAGGTGAAGAATCTACCTAGCAGCTTCAAACTTTTAAGCAAAAAAGGGGGAGAAACAATGATTCTGGAACTGGAACTGGAAATTGTAACTGGAACTGAAAATTGTTACTTCTGGAAATTTTTCTGGAACTGGAAAACTTTTTGAAATGATTTTGGAACTGGAAATCTTTTTGGATTGTGGATTATGAATTGACCTCCAATTCAGGAATTTGATTATTGTGAAGTCTCTGGAAATATTCTATTCTGGATCAGACAGCTGGTAACTCTGGAAACTCTATTTTGGAGCAGACAACTTGACCAAGAAGCTTTTTACAAATTTCTCAACTGTTAGCTGATTTATGTTTCTTTTGAAACTTAGCCGATCTAACCGAAAATGTCCTTTTTGATAACTATTGTTGATAGTCTCTGAACTGTCCAGACAGCCAGGTTGTTCATTTTGTGATCATCCTTCGAAGACTTAGAAATTCCAAGATTATATGACTAGTCTCTATCTAGTCTCCACTTTGTAGCAATCTAAACAAATATCCCTGGCATAATTAATTACTTGAAGATATTAGACTATGGGTACTAAATCTAAGAAGATTACACATCAAGAGTGAGATCAAATCAAGGGGGAGACAAGCCAAGAATCAAGTATCTCTGAGGATCAATGTTTTTGCAAAAGTTTGACAAAGGGGGAGAGTGTTGACCTAAAATAAATTGTCAAAGTGGTAAATGCAAAAACCATATCCCAACCATAATAAGATGTCATAATCCAACTGTGATTAGGACTAATAACCCACTCATGCGCAGACTAAGGTTATTAAACTCCTATAAAAGAAGACACTCTCAATCACACAAACTCACGCTTTCAGCACCTAATTGTGAGCACGAGAGTCATTGAGAGAGATACCCAAATCCCCTTGAAAAGTAGTACAAGTGTTTAGGTCTCAATAGCTTGATAGGAAATCATATTGTGTAATCCCCGTTCCCTAAACAAAGTGTACTTTAAATATTGAGCTTTTAGTGGATTTAGGCAAATTTTCAATTTGAGAAGTGCCTCGCAGATTAGGGCTGCTTGCCCGATACTGCTTTATAAATATTTGTGTCACAACGTCTGTTTCAACGTTACCAAATTCAAACATCTATATTAATTACAATAAGAATTGATATTTGCAGTGATGGGATGGATAGCCATTGAGCCTTTTCTGATTCCACACATCTATCTGTTACTGCTTTGTGTACATTGGGTATTCAATTCAAATTTAGCAGCATCTCCCCCCTTTTAGATCTTGTGGTCAAAAGAAATTTGATGAGGTGATATAGATAGGGACAGGGGCACAGGGATAGTCTGCTAGCTTTTTCTTTTTATGTGGGGTTTTTAGAGTTGGACCATTTGGATTGGCCATGGCATCAAGAAATGTGCCTCATTGTCTCATTCTCCTTTCTTAAACCCCCATCTCGAGAGTTCTACTTCATCTTGTTTGAAAATCAATTTCTATTACTCTCTTTGATAGAGGAAGTAAATTGAATGATATGTGAAGTTAGGTTATGTTTGTCTTTTTTCTTGTCCTATAGAAAAAGTAAATCATGTGATATGTCTTAACAGTTTATAAATTCTCTTGGAGATTATGTTTAAAGTGGGCATCACCAGTTTACTGTTTATTAATTAAATTTCTTTAAGTGTAAACTCAAAGTCTTCACCTTGTGTCCTGGGTCATGTATGACTCAATTTTCTAGTTGCTAGCACACTTAATTAATAATTTCCAATTAATCACCCCGATGAGACATAAACATTTTAATGTTGCTGTGCACCATCCTGCATGCCATTGTCTATTCTTTCCTCAAATTTTTAGTGTTCAATGAGATTGTACTTTACTGAAGTGTCTCTTGCACCCTATTTATTTTCAGATTTTGTTGAACATCAGAGTGCAGCAATCAGGGCTCTTCGTGATGTGCAGATTGAACAATTACGTACAATGTTACGGTTGCTACGCTCTAATTTTAGCAAGGAACAGCTACAAGTTCCTGTTTTGCAATTTTTCAGAGAAAACCTGCTGCTAGCAAAGTGTTGAACACAAACTTGACGAAAAATAAGTTTCATGTCCTAAAGACATTGGAGTCTAGACAATGACCTGAGCTACAATCATCTTTACCCTTCATTTTAATTTCAGGCAAATAGCCACCGGTTATCTGTTGGGATGACACCGAAAACTTTGAGGCAGCCTGATGGATTATATGAACTCGGGGGTCTGGATTATACAACCCGAATATATATCGAATGTGATAAACGGAGTAATAAAATGATAATAGGGGTGTGTACATAAATGATATTATATTAAATAGATGTGTAATGCTATTATAGAGGTTCATGACGTATAATAATGATACAAGTATTGTCAGAAGATAGAAGCTGCTTGAATAGGACACCAGGGGGTGTTTTTATACCCCCGGCCGGATCGGGCCCGGGTCACGCGGGAGGAGCCGCGGCCCGCGCCACGGGACTCGCTCCACGTGAGGACCCGGTCCTTGGCCGAGCACGGAGCTCGGCCAAGGTGCCGGCCATGGGCTCGGCCGAACCCGTGGAGGTCGGCTCGACACGCCAGGCCGACCCTGGGGTGGCCGACCACGCGTAGGCCGACCCCGGGTGTGCCGGCCGACCCCGGGGTGGTTAGCCGACCACGGTGTGCCGAACCCATGTTGGCCGACCCCGGGGTGGTTAGCCGACCCCGGGGTGCCGAGCCCATGTTGGGCGACCCCGTGGTGGTTCGTCACTCCGTATGCATAGTAGCCGGGGACCCCGTGATAGGTAGACCTCTCCATGGTCTGTCCGGTCACGTGCGTAGTCCACTCGATGCCGGATGTGATCTGCTCCATATTGCTTCGCCCCGAGTTCGCTGATAAGCTTAATTTCTAGGCATTATTTAGAGTAATTTTAGTAAGTGATTTTCTTTAATAAATTCAGTTTTAGGGTTAATTATATTATAAATATTATATTTAGTTATATGTTACTAGTTTAGACTAGTTTAGATGGGTTTTAATAAATATTAGGCTAATGTTGCATTTTTATTAATATAAATAGGAGTTTTATTTTATCTATAGTATTAAATTTATTTGGTAGTTTTATATCTTAAATTTTAAATTAGTGTTTTATTTATTAAGTTAAGTGGTGTCATTAGGTTAATATAATTATTATTATTTTAACTTAATTGGTTTTGTTTTATTTTTCCTTTACAGAATTGCGCAGCAAGGAAAGAAAGAAAAATAGAGATTAAGGTTGTTTTGGTTTTATACTTGGTGGGTTCGGCGGAAACAAAACAAGAAAAAAAGAAAGGGTTTTAAAGGTTTGTTGTTTGGCGGGGACCTCATCGAGAGGTCGGCGGAGACCTCCCCGAGAGGTCGGTCGAGACCTCCTCGAGAGGACGACGGGGACCTCCTCGAGAGGTCGGTGGAGACCTCCCAGAGAGGTAGGCCGGGACTTCCCCGAGAGGTCGGTCGAGACCTCGTCTAGAGGTCAGCGGGGACCTCCTCAAGAGGTCGGCGGAGACCTCCTCGAGAGGTCGGTGGAGACCTCCTCGAGAGGTCGGCGGAAACCTCCCCGAGAGGTCGGCCGGGACCTCCCCGAGAGGTCGGTCGAGTCCTCCCCGAGAGGTCGGTCGAGACCTCCTCGAGAGGTCGACCGAGACCTCATCGAAAAAGTCCGCCAAGACCTCCTTGGGAAGTCGGCCGAGACCCTGCCGAGTGGCAAATGAGGTCGGACTTCGGGCTCCCCTTAGGGTAGCCCTTCGACCCCAAGCCACCTTACTTGGGCCGTTAATCTCTTCCGTTGGGGTTGGTACGCGAGGTCGGATCTCGTGCCCCCTTAGGGTGGCCCTTCGACTCCAAGTCACCGGACTTGGGCTGTTAAGCTCTTCCGTCTGGGTTGATACGCGAGGTCGGGCCTCGTTTCGTCGCTAGGGTATCGAGATTGTGTTACGCCCGTTCGGCGATAGGCGAGATCGGACCTCATACCGCCCCTAGAACTTCTTAGCGATTCATGGGTTGGAGCCTTTTGACTCGCATTTCGAATCCTTCCGTTCGGCGATAGGCGAGGCCGGACCTCGTACCACCCCTAGGGTATTTAGATTGCGTTACACCCGTTCGGCGGTGGGCGAGGCCGAACCTCGTACCGCCCCTAGGATACATATAGATACAGAGATAAACTTTCCAGAGGATATGGAAGAGAGGTAAGGTAAGGAAGACCAGACCTCGTACCGCCCCTAGGACGTTTTAGCGATTCTGGGGTTGGAGTCCTTTGACTCGCGCCCCGAACCCTTCTGTTCGGCGATAGACAAGGTCGGACCTCGTACTGCCCTAGGGTGTTAAGATTGCGTTACGCACGTTCGGCGGTGGGAAAGGTCGGACCTCGTACCGCCCCTAGGACGTTTTAGCGATTCTGGGGTTGGAGTCCTTTGACTCGCGCCTCGAACCCATCCGTTCGGTGATAGGCGAGGTCGGACCTCATACCACCACTAGGGCCTGTGCTACGTCTAGGTTGGCCGTCGCGGTCACTGCTTACGCAACCGCCACGTCCGACCGACCTGGTATGGACGTCCTCAGGTCGGCCGACCCCGCGTTGGCCGACCCTGAGGAGGCCGGCCCCGCGGTGCCCGAGTACTTGATCTCGCATGTGCCCGTACTCTTCCACAACTCGGGGTAGGAAAATTGCTCAATGAAATTCATTATTCCACTACGAATGAAAACAAAAGATTATTGTGGGGAGTCAGCCTGTTATTGGGGAGGGGGTAGGCCGTAAAAATGTGATTCTACTGGTAAAATTTCAGCGAGTGCTCCGCGTTCCACACCCTGTCCATCGTCTTGCCCGATGGGGTCCAGAATGACCTCTTCCGTCTCCAGCGCGGGTTCGCCTGGGGGCCGCTTCTCCTCCTCTCGAAGCGCCTTCTCGGTTACAGTTTGTACCTTGAGGTCCTTCCTTGTTATTTGGCGGCATGCCTTCAAGTAGCAGCTCCGGCTGATCTTCTGGTCTCCTCGCGCGACACCCGCTCCTGTGGGGGTGGGGAACTTGAGGCAGATGTGCTCCATGGAAATGATGCACCTGAGGTCCTCTAGGGCAGGTCGGCCGAAGATGATATTGTAGGCACAACTGGTTTTGACCACCACGAACTCCACCTCCCACCTTTTGACGTGGGGCGGGGTGCCGATTTGTACCTTGAGGGTGATGGAGCCCTCTGTTTCGATGGAGTCCTCGGTGAAACCAGATAGCGGGGTCCGTACCGGGGAGAGCTGCTTCCGGGATAGCCTGAGTTGCGTGAAGGTGCCATAATACATGACGTTCACGGAGCTCCCCGTATCCACTAGTACACGGTGGACAATGATGTCCTTGATCTCCAGCCTAATTACCAATGCGTCTCGGTGGGGCAGGGGGCCATCCGGGAGGTCGTCGTCGGTCAATGTTATGGGCTCCCAGCGTGTCCTCTTTTCTTGGGGTACCCGGACGACCTCCCCCACATATAGGCTCCGCGCCAACCTCTTCCTCTCGGCGGGCGTGTCTCCACCCTCCGGGCCGCCGAAGATGACGTGGATGACTTTCTTCTTTGGCGGGCTGTCTGGTTCGGTCTCCTCGTACTCCGTGAGTTGACCGAGTTCCCTCTTGCGCGGGGCAGAGGCGGATGGTCCGGCACCGCCCTTCTTCTTCCGTGCGTTGTCGAGGCCTTTGGTGGGGTCCTGCCCTGTCCTCTTCACGTATTGGCCTAGGTACCCCCGCCTGATGAGCTCCTCGATCTGTCTCTTGAGGGCCATACACTCGTCCATGTCGTGCCCACGCTGCCGATGGAAACGACAATACTTCTTCGGGTCGGCCTTGGGGGAGACCTTCTAGCACACCTCGGGGAACGACACGATACCCATGTCCTCCGCGTGGTCCAGGATGACGTTCACGGGTTGTGTTAACGGAGTGAGGTGTCGTAGTGGGGCTAGACGGTGCCTTGTCACTCCAGCCCCGCCCTTCCTCCTCCTCTTTCTTCCTCATCTCTGCCGCCTCGGCATTGGCATACCGCGCGGCGCGGTCCATCAACTCCGTGTACGTCTTCGGCTCTTTCCGGACGAGGTCGCTGTGGAAAGGACCGGATCGAAGGTTGTTGGTGAAGAATGGGATGGCGGACCTTTCGTCGAAATTGGTCACCCCCATGGCCTCCTTCTTCCACTTGCTCAGGAACTCCGCCAAGGTCTCCAACTTGAGTTGCTTCAGGTAGCATAAGTAAGCGAACTGTTTCCTTCGTTGTATGCTACCCGCGAAGTGTGACATAAACTTCTTGGCTAGGGCGGCAAATGTGGGGATGGACTCTGCCGGCAAGGCCCCGAACCAGTCTTGGGCCTGGCCATCCAGAGTCGTGCAGAAGCCGCGACACATGATGGCGTCATTGACGCCTGTCATCATCATGACCGCCTTGTACCTATTGAGGTGATCCCGCGATTCCGTCGCTCCCGTGTAGGGTTTAACGACACAGGGGCTCGGCCATGATGTCCTTCGTGAAAGGCGTGGCCAAGGCTTCCTGAGGCTCCGGTGACTCGTCGCGCGCCTCGATCTTGCGCTGCAACTCGCGCATCAGCCTGCGCAGTTGCTCCATCTCATCGCGCTGGGAGCTTGGAAGTCGGCCTCTAGTCTCCCCCGAGCGCTCTACTAGTGGGGTCGGCTCCTGTGGCCCCGGAACACGAGGTTCATGGCTCCGGGACCTCCGCGAACACGACGACTCCGCCTGTTTGGCTTCTGCGGCTGGCCTCGGCCCTAGGCGGTCTCGCGCCGGCACACGCGGGCCCAACTGCCCGAGCGCGGATGTTGTCTGGGTCGACCGAGTCCTCCTCTCCTCCCGTTGCTCGTTCCGGCCTCGGCTTGCCTCCGCCTCGTCTCGTCTCTCGGATGGCCGCGGTGAGTTGACTTCCCCATCGCCCGGCGTCGCGGGCGCCCGGGGCGCGTGAGTGCTGGGACCACCGTGCTCCCTCGGAGGGGGTGGAGGTTGAGGTGCCGGGGCACCCCGTCGCAGCCCCGCCGCGACGCTGTTGAGCGCGGTCGCCGCCTGCTGATGAAGGATAATAGGGAGAGCACTTAAGCTTGTACATCCGCTCTCAATAAGAGCACCAATGATGGATTATATGAACCCGGGGGTCCGGATTATACAACCCGTATATATATCGAATGTGATAAACGAAGTAATAAAATGATAATAGGGGTGTGTACGTAAATGATATTATATTAAATAGATGTGTAATGCTATTACAGAGGTTCAGGACGTGTAATAATGATACAAGTATTGTCAGAAGATAGAAGCTGCATGAATAGGACACCGATGGGTGTTTTTATACCCCCCGGCCGGATCGGGCCCGAGTCACGCGGGAGGAGCCGCGGCCCGCGCCACGGTACTCGCTCCACGCGAGGACCCGGTCCTTGGCCGAGCACGGAGCTCGGCCAAGGTGTCGGCCATGGGCTCGGCCGAGCCCGTGGAGGTCAGCTCGACGGCGAGCCGACCTCACGCCAGGTCGACCCCGGGGTGGCCGACCCCGGGCGCGCCGGCTGACCCCGGGGTGCCGAGCCCATGTTGGCCGACCCCGGGGTGGTTAGCCGACCCCGAGGTGCCGACCCCGGGGTGGTTCGTCACTCCGTATGCATAGTAGCCGGGGACCCTGTGATAGGTAGACTTCTCCATGGTCTGTTCAGTCGCGTGCGTAGTCCACTCAGTGCCGGGTGTGATCTGCTCCATATTGCTTCGCCCCGAGTTCTCTCCGTAATTATTCCATCACATCCCAAACATGGGGAGATGTTTTTATCCGTACGTGGCTCACCCCTTGGCGTTTACAAGGTAGACATGGTAGCAATATGCGGTACGTATGTATTCTTCTGAATTCGATCTTTTATGGCTATGGGGTCAAGATACTAACCTTAATTACCATGCCGTTATATTATCCAGAAACTAACCTTATATTCTTTAGGTGGTGAAATGACAACTGTACTGTTCTCTATTTACCATGAAGTGTTATCCTGTGACATTTTTGTATATTGAATTCTCTTTATGCTGTTGTGGTTCTAACATATCAGTTCATGTTGCAGAATCTGAAGATGGTTCAACTTTAGATTATATTGGTGGAAGAAGTTACTACCATTGTATTTGATTAATCCACGACTCATTTCTATGTTTAGCGTCTCATGTTTGCTTTTTTTGCTTTGAAGCAATATATTACTTACTTAAGTTAATGCGTTGAAGCAAATATTATGCCTTGTTTTTGCGTCTCATGTCTGCTTTAATGTATTGTTATGGTAAATATTGTTCTTGTAGAACATTGAAATGTTATGTCTAAGTACTCGAGCTTACTTATACTAAAATTTATAATATTGATATATGGACTTGCACACTCTTTTCACATTGTCTTAATTTTATTAATGAAAGAAAAAGAGAGTAATAAAAATTCTGACTTGTCATTTTTCTGGATGAATTAGAACATGCCACGTAACTGATGTAAGGAACAAGTTAAAATTGGAAATACATGATACTTAAAACAATTAAGTTATGTGTAAGGGCATCCCCAATAGGGGGGATCTTACTAAATTTTGGAACAATCAAATCTTGCATAACAAACTTTTAACAAATGGGGGTGTTGCATTTTGGAGAAAATTTTCTCCTGCAACACCCTACATTTTGTCAGCCATCTGTCAGAATTTTTTTTTAAAAAGGTGGTCTAGTGGGTCTAGTGGCCCGCATGGGCCTTGAGATTTGTGAAGGTCTTTTTGTTTTATTTTGCTGTGCAACGGCCAGCTTTTTGTTTTGTTTTTTTGTTTATAATTATTAATAATATTTTTATCAAATTTATAATTGTAATTTTTAGAATGATAATAAATAAAGAAATAATTAAAATAGGGAGATAAAATAGTGGGTACACAAAAAGTTGTGAAAAACTTAAAACTAATGGGAAGAAGAGATTTTGTGATTGAGTGAGATAGTGGATGATGAGGTGGATGTTGGGGCCCACAAAAATTCCCAAACCTCGTAGCACAGAAGCTATATCTCTGCATGTTGTTTCTAGTTTACTCAGTTCACTTCTAACTTGATTGCGAATCACCTCCTTCATGTTCATATTTTCTTCATCCTGAGATAAGGAAAATGATTGTGTTGAGAAAAATATATAAAAAGTCGGATTTAATCCTCTTTTGTTGCCTAGTTTCAAAATTGGCACTAGTCAAAGAGATTAAAAGGTATGGATGAGCATTAGAAAATGATGTGTATCCTCTAGGGATTGCAATTCACATCCGCCTTGTGAGTTGTGATTAAAGTCCATCCGCCCATTTCCATATCTAACCCCACTTAAAGGATTGGCTTTTGCATTTTAGTTATGATGGAACTCATCATTTATGTATTGGATAGTCCTAAGCCAGTTACAGAATTATCATGTCGATAAATAAAAAGTCACAAATGGGTGGTGGCTATAAAAATATGGACTCTTGTAGTGAATCAATCAATTACCATTCTGCATCTCTTATTCTTCTCTTCTATGCTTGATACAGTTCAAGGTTGGACATTACCCATGGGTGGTGGCTCTTTACTACCAAGTACCAACCAGATTTATCCACCCCACTTTGTCGCTGGCTATACGCGGAGCTGGACATAGAGTTATTCCGCCGGATATACTCGGTGACGAAGGTCGGCCGCCACTCGCTGGGCTTTGTGTAGATATCCCACCGGATAGGCCTTGTTTTATTTGAAGGCCGGCCGGATTCTGTAAAAAATTGGAAGCCTTTCTTCATTTTTGTCCGACCGGCTCCCACTCTTTCTCCTTTCGACTTCTCGACCACATGGCCTACCACTCTTTTCAAGGCGGACACTCGACAGCCTCGTTACACAGCAAAGGCGACTCGAGGCGCCAATTTTCTGATGAAACTGTGGCCCGGGTCCATGTGCGTGTTCTTCTGGTCTCATCTCCGTGCTATGGAGGAGGCGGGTCTTCTTCTTGCTGGATCGGCCACCTCATGTAGCTTTTGGGTGTTTGTACTTGTGCTGCCTAGCTTAGGCTGGCATTTCGACTTACTGTCTTTATTTTCTTTTATGCAGGCGACGTTGACTCATTCCCCATCATCTCCGACTCCATGGCCAGTCGATCTGCGAAGCTGCGTTGTCGCGCGGCGAGCCGCGCCGCGGGTACCTCCCAGGCTTTGCTACCTCCGCCTGCTCCCATTGATAAGCGTAATTTCTAGACATTATTTAGAGTAATTTTAGTGAATGATTTGCATAAATAAATTAAGTTTTGGGGTCAATTTTATTATAAATATTATATTTATTTATATGTTACTAGTTTATATGAGTTTTAATAAATATTAGGCTAATGTTACATTTTTATTAATTTAAATAGGAGTTTTATTTTATTTATATGTTAGTTTTATATCTTAAAATTTAAATAAGTATTTTAATAATTAAGTTTAATTAAGTTATGTTATTAGGTTATAATAATAATAATAATAATAATAATAATAATAATAATAATAATAATAATAATAATAATAATAATAATAATAATAATAATAATTGATGGTTTTTGGGTTTTTGGGCCCAAGGAGGTCCAACACAACCTTTAGCTGGAGGATACACCTTTCAATAAAGCTTGCTAAAATAATATGGGCTTGATGATTTTGACGTGGAAACCGAAAGGAAAACCACGGGTCTTTTTGGGCGGTGCCAAGCCTAACTCCACTATGTCTTTTGTAGGTGTCTATGTACATGTTGTATGGCTATTTTGTATATATAATATTGTGTAGAGATAGAGCTACTATA